CCATCCCAGGAGAAATTCCTGCTGAGGTGGGATAAGGAGCCATCCCAGGAGAAATTCCTGCTGCTGGAGCATCCCCGAGCTCCCTGGCAGCTCTGCCCCGTGCAGGGTTTGGCTTTGGGCTTTGCTGGCCACCCTGTGCTGCTGGGCTGAGCTCCTGCCCTAAAAGGAATCCCATGTGGCCCCACAGAACTCTCTGGGTGTCCCTCTGCATCCCCCACATCCCCTGAACTCCAGGGTTGGGAGCCATCCCATTCCCACAGCCTGACCCCGCATCAAAGACGGGGAACAAAACAACTGCGGAGCRTTGGGAAGCAAAATAAATAAACCTGGGGCTGCTCAGGGAGGGCTGCGAGCTCAGGCACAATCAAATCTGCTATTTCTGGAGCCTTCTTTCAAAAGCACATCCACAACAGGAACTTCTGATCATCAGCCCCTAAAGGAGGGGACTTGTGATATCCAAACCCCTCGAACCTGACTTCCCTCAATCAAAGGGATTGCCACTGCTTTATCAGGTGGCCGGTGGGACTGGAGGAAATCCTGGGGTTCTGGGGGTTTGGGTGGAAATGCAGGAAATCCTGGGGCTTTATCGAGGKCCAGCAGCCCCGAGTGGAGAGGCCAACGTGACAATCTGTGTTTGCAAAGCATCTTGCAGCAGGAAGGTCCCCGGGATGTCCTGGGGCCATCACCTTGGTGACAGCACGTTGCAGCGTGAGAAAGTTTGGAGGGCTCACTCCTCGCTTGAGGTTGTCTTTTTGGGGTCATCATTTGGGGTGAATTTGATTTGAATTAATCCCTGGAAAGCTGGAGGGACAATGTGCCCGTGCTCTGCATCCAAAATGCGGCTGGTAATTAAGATAATTAATTAATCCTGAGGTTCCTCTGGAGGCATTTGGGCTCCACTGAGTGGGGTTTGTGTCCTGCAGGTGATGTGGAGAACCTGAGCCCCGAGAAATCCTTCGAGGGCACCAAGGTGGACGTTGGGAACATCGTGCTGGCCCTGTACAGCGGCCTCTTTGCCTACGGGGGATGGTGAGGCACAGCCCTGGCTCCTGCTCCACGCTGAGCCTGATTCCTGCTTGAATTCCAGCTTGAATTCCAGCTTGAATTCCAGCCCAATTCCAGCCCCAATTCCAGCCCAATTCCAGCCCCAATTCCAGCCCAATTCCAGCCCCAATTCCAGCCCCAATTCCAGCCCAATTCCAGCCCCAATTCCAGCCCAATTCCTGCCCCAATTCCAGCCCGATTTCAGCCCAATCCCAGCTCCAATTCCAGCCCAATTCCCACTCCAATTCCAGCCCAAATCCAGCCCCAATTCTAGCCCAATTCCTGCTCCAATTCCAGCCCAATTCCTACTCCAATTCCAGCCCCAATTCCAGCTCCAGTTCCAGCTCCAGTTCCAGCCCAAATTTCAGCCCAATTCCAGCCCAATTCCCACTCCAATTCCAGCCCCAATTCCAGCCTCAATTCTTGCTCCAATCCCAGCTTCAATTCCAGCCCAATTCCAGCTCCAATTCCAGCCCCAATTCCAGTCCAAATTCCCATTCCAATTCCAGCTCCAGTTCCACCTGAGGCTCCTGCAGGGCTCTTTTCTCTCTTCTTAGAGCACTGCTGCTCAGTTTGATGTGGAATCAGGCCCCTTGGAGCCATCCTCATCACGGAATCATGGAATTCTGTGGGTGGGGAGGGACCTTTGGGATCCTCCAGTCCCRTGGGCACCTTGCACTGTGCCAGGCTGCTCCAAACCTGCCCTTGGCCATCCYGAGTTTTCCCACAGGATCAGCCCCTGTTCCCCTCCTGGGATCCCTGATCAGTTAAACTGAAGGGTTTTATTTATTCCTTGGACTCGCCAGAATCAACCCCTTGTCCTTTCCAAATTGCAGGAATTACTTGAATTTCGTGACGGARGAGATGATCAATCCCTACAGGTGGGTGTGAGTCCTGGGGGAAAAGYAAAGCTGCTGGTTTGGGTGTGTTTTGTGTTTAACAGAGGAGGAATCTGAGGGTTTTATTGGGGAAAGATGGATTGGTGACCTTTTACCCCTCTGGAAGCAGGGGAAGGAGCAGGGCTGTTTTTTTCCCCTGCTCTCCTGTGCTGTGCTCTGCATCCTCAGCCTGGCACCTCTGCGAGTGCTGGGCCAGGAAAGAGCATCAGGGCTTTATTGCTGTCTGGGTCAAACTGCCACTGAGCTTTTGGGCTGTTTTCAATGGGTTTGTGCTGCTTTCTATGGGTTTGTGCTGCTCTCCATGGGTTTGAGCTGCTTTCTATAGGTTTGTGCTGCTCTCCATGGGTTTGTCCTGCTTTTTGTGGGTTTGTGCCTCTCTCCCCATGTCTCTGCTGCTCTCCTGTCTCCTCCTCTCCCCGTGTTTGTTCTGCTCTCCCCATGTCTCTGTTCCTCTCCCCCTGTCTCTGCTGCTCTCCCCATGTCTCTGCTGCTCTCCCCGTGTTTCTGTTAACTCTCCCCATGTCTCTGTTATTCTCCCCATGTCTCTGCTGCTCTCCATGTGTTTCTGTTAACTCTCCCCATGTCTCTGCTGCTCTCCATGTGTTTGTCCCGTGCTCTTCCCACCCTGTTGAGCAAGAGCTGCTTCCTGCTCTGCCCCTCGGGGTTATTTGGGGGCCCCAGCAGAGCAGGACAGCGCTGAGAAATCCCTTCTGGAGCTGCTGTGGGCTCGGGGCACTTGTGCAAGAGGCTGTCCTGGCTGACCCTGGGGTGCTCTGTGCCTGCTGGGAAGCCCAGGGCTGGATCCACCCCTTCCCAGACAAACAGCACCAGGGGGGCTGCATTTTGCAATTATTCCCACGTCTGTTGGATGCAGTTGTGGTATTTGACTCTGCTCCTGCAGCCTGGAGCTCCTCTGGAGCAATTAGAGTGGCACCAAGCAGGGTTTCCTTCTGCACTTTCTGTTCACAAATGAGGGGAAACTGCTGGGAAAAATGAGTTTGTACCGACACAGGGTTCACAGAGCCACTCGGGCTGGGCCTGAGCTCCTTTTCTTTTGGACAGCTGAGTTTAGGTGCAGMCTAAAAGCTGCCCACTGGAGCTCCTTTTCCCAGACAGAACCCCTGTGCTGGTGCCACTGAGTGATTTTAATAAATGGCCTTTGTAGTGAGCTTGGATTCCTGCTCCTGCATGGAAYTTCTCCATGGAAAAATCCCTTCTGCCACAATCCTTCCCTTTCCTTGTGCAGGAGAATTCCCTCTGTTCAGGGAATCTCAACTCTGTAGAGTTGGGAAAAACCTTTCAGACCATCAGCCACCACCACTAACCGTGTCCTCAGTGCCACATCCACGTGTTTTTTGAGGGATGGAGCCTGTGGATCCCCTCTCCCACGTTTGCAGCGTGTTCCTGGGGGGCTGGATCAGCTGCTCAGGACAATGGGTGCTTTTTCCCAGGAAYCTTCCTCTGGCCATCATCATCTCCCTGCCCGTGGTCACGCTGGTGTACRTGCTGACCAACCTGGCTTACTTCACCACGCTGAGCACCGAGCAGATGCTGACCTCTGAGGCTGTGGCYGTGGTAAGGACCTCACTGTCCCTGCAGGGCTCATCCTGGGCAGGTGAAATGGGGCTGGGATCACACAGCTCCTGCTGTGGGGCAGAGATAAAGGGCAGCTCTGACGGGAGCAGYGTGGGTTCATCCCAGGCAGCACAGGCTGGGTGGGCACTCAGCGCTGCTCTCCTGACCTAGGGAAGGTTGCTGCTGGCCTTGTGACTTGCCAGAGTTTCATATTTATGGGGAAAGGTCACTCAGTCAACACTGAGCTGGATTGTTCTCTCTCCGTGTCATCCTCGTTTTAATTAGGAGAGGAAAAATAATACTTGTATTAATTAAAATGTCAGTGCAGTCAGGAGGGAGCAGACTTTGCAGGCTGAGCCTGACCAGGGGAATGTCCCAGGGCTTTGGGGGAAATGTCCCAGGCCAGGATGAGCTGAGCCCCTCAGATGACCCCAATCCATCCTTGGGTTGGGACTGAGCTTGCAGGGAATCCTGGAATGCTCTGGGTGGGAAGGGATCTCAAAGCTCATCCCAYCCCATGGCAGGGACAGYTCCCACTGTCCCAGGCTGCTCCAAGCCCTGGCCTGGAGCAGCAGAGGCTGCAGCCCATCCCCT